AGGGTTTCCAAGGCTGTGATCTTTATGGAAGCAGACTGCCTCCTCTCCCTCTCAGCTGGTGGGCTGGAACTGGAAACCCAGACCACTTAAGCACTATGCCATCAGAGTTTACTTATAATAACTAATACAATCTAAATGCTATACAAATAGCACTTTATGCCTCCTCTTAGCCTCTGAGGGATTGCTTTCATCACTTGGTCCCTTACAACATTTTCTATCCATGGTTGGTTGAATCTGTGGATGTGGAACTTGGGGATATAGAGGACAGACTGTATCGTGTACATGTTTGTATACGTTCAGTACACAAAGTAACTGTCCCCCTTTGGGGTTTGCAAACTTGCACCTGCAACTGGCTGCTTCTGGTAAGCCGAGCTCTCCAAGCAGCCCTGGAGAACCTGGCTAGAACTGAGCCGGCCCAGTGTCCCCCTGCAGCTATCACCCGTGGGGTGGACGGGCAGGGCATGTGCGCCAGCAGCAGCTGCGGAGGGGAGCCTTTGCCACCACTCCTGCTGAATGATGCAGCCCCCCCTCCCCAATGAAGCCTCTCCCTGTCTCCCCCAGGGACATACATGGGGTCAGATGTGGCGGTATGTTCCCTTATGTTGGGCGCACCTATGTACAAAAAAAGTTCTTCCATGCTTTTTCAATGCCATTTTCCCCCTCAGTTCTAAAAGTCACTCAAATATTAAAAGTAAAATTCAATCAAGGTTATTCAGGAGGGAAAGTGCATCCATGTGCACGTGTATGTTCACATATATGGATGTGGTGGAAGTGGTCTGCAACCAGTTGCCACCCGTTTTCTAGAGCCTGTACCAGATGACTGACAGCCCCTCCCCACAAAGCTGCGGGTGTGTATGTGCCCCGCACTAGGACCCGAGAGAGCTCCCCACACCCGCCTGCCAACACTGCGAATTCTACAGAAAACACTTCTTGTCATTGTGACACTGGAAAGACTCTTAAAGGAAGAAGAGCTGGCAAAACTGTCCTCTGAGGGTGACTCGGCAGGGTCTGGGTTCAGGCAGGCACCACAAGAAGCTGCCCAGTAGGTAGCTCCGCTGGGGACGCCATGGCCGGTTCTGAGATTAGGGACATAGAATATACCTACCTATGTGTCGTCTTCATGGCCTATGGCCCTGACTGTACCCAAGGTGACAGTTTCACTGTGCTCCCTGAGTGGTGACAGGTTGGCTACACACAGCACCTTTGCCTGGAATCTTCAGTCTGCCTATGTATGGCTACCGGGGACGGGGGATGTTTGCTTTCAATAGGGCCAGATTATTCCTAAAAAGCAGAGGGCTACAGGGAGACAGCTCAGGTGGCGGAAACACACAGAAGGGAAGGACACAGGGAAGAGGTAACCTACAGGGAGGAAGTGGGAAGAGAGCTGTTACACTGTGGGGAACCGAAGTCAATGTCATAAAACAAAGATGTGTATCAACTGCTGTATGGAAAATGAATTTGCTCTGTCAACTTTCACCCAGATCACAACAAAAGTTTTAAAAAAAGACGGGGCTGCTGTACGTACCTGCAGTTTGCGAAGCTGCTTGATCACTTCATCTCGAGCTTTGTTCGCAGCCTCGATTTGGGCTTCAAGGTCTTTCAGGTCGATTTCCATTTTCTTCTTTGACGCAACAGCAAGAGCCCGCTGTTTACGCTCATCCTCCAGCTCTGCCTCCAGCTCCCGGACCTGGGGACAGCCCCAATTATGCCTGGTCACATCCATACCCCCCTCCACCAGAGAACAGGCAGCCCCTCACTACGTCAGGGCTTGGTTACTCAGGTGAATGGAACCTTCCGTTCCTCTGTAGAGATGCTCTGTGCTACTGGGTAGGTATTACTATTAATGGAAAACCGTAGTAATTTTCACTTAAAGGAATCATAAAAAAATCAATAAAAATGACAAAACCAACATGTTCCAGACGAATCTAACAAATGTGAAGTGAGTGTGTGACTTTGGAGACTGGGTTGTAGGAGGCACGAGGGGACCTCCTTGCTTGCTCTCTTGGGCAGCTCATGCTTCCTATGGAGGCCCCCCTAGTAGGGAACTGAGGCCCCCTGTCAATAACCGGTGGCAGAGCCAGCTTAAGCTGACACCCCAGCCTCAGCCAGGCCTTCAGAGGACCCTGACTGCAAACCCAGGAGAGACAGTTCCAGCACGACCCCACTCAACTCCTGATGAACTGAACCCTGATCCACGGACACTGTGAAATAAATGTTTGTTGTCTTGAGCCACCAAATTCAGGCTAATTTCTTACCAGAAATAACTGACTACTAAAATAAACATAGTACCCCCCCGCCAAGAAAAAAAAAACAAACCCAGTGCCATCAAGTCAATTCTGACTCATAGTGACCACTACTGGGCTTTTGAGGTGGTAAATCTTTACGGAAATGAATTGTCCTGTCTTCCTTCCACAGAGTGGATGGTGGGTTTGAACTGCCAACTTCTGGGTAGCAGTCAAAGACCTTAGGCACTGTACCACCAGAGCTCCTTAAAATAAACGTAGCAGAATGGAAATAAAAATGGGGAAAGAGTCTGAATCTAAGATTTGATACCATGAACTCCAAGGGATATTGAAATACTCCCAAGTGATTTTTAAAGTAAATTGTTAAATTAGAAGCCTCAAAACTTTTAAATTAGCATACATTCAATGAAGTATTGTTGTTGTTGTTGCTGTTATGTGCCATGGAGTCGGACCTGACTCATAGCGACCCCCTTGGGTTTCTGAGGCAGTATCACTATGGAAGTAGACTGCCCAACCTTCCTTCTGAGGAGTGGCTGGTGGGTTTGAACCACCAGCCTTCTGGTTAGCAGTCAGATACCTTAGGCACTACGCTACGAGAGTTCCTTCAATAAAGTATACAAATCATAAATGCCCAACTAATTTTTAAAATAGAACAAGAATTTGTGACTTTTTCCCCCTGTGAATAGTGGTTTGAGGAGGGCAGGTGATCTGAATTACAGAAACCAGGTGAATCACCTGGTCAGGTCCACACTGTTTGTCCCCTATCCCCACACTTCCAAGACTCCTAGAACTTGAACCTGACTTCATATTCCCTTTAGAGGACAGAGTTAGGGCTTCTGAGCAGATTAAGTGTCCTGGCTTGTAAACAGCAATGAGAAATAGAAAATCAAAACCAATTAGGATAGATTTCAGAGAATGAAATTCTCAAATGACCAAACAAATTAACTTTATTCCAGCCAATGTGTTCTGATTTGCATAAAAAGGATCCCGACCCAGAACTGGACTTGGAGAAAGTGCTGAGTCCTTGTCCCCGAAGCTGCACTTCCTCTGACCTACCTGCTTAATCAGCAGCCTCTTCTTCTCCTCATTCTGCTCGTCTCTGGTCTGCAGGTCCCTCTCAAACTGGGCCTTCATGGCCTGCATGTTGACCTCCAGGCGAAGCTTGGCATCTTCTGTAGCCTGAAGCTCATCTTCCAGCTCCTCCAGTTGGGTCCTCATTTCCTCCACCTGCTGCTCTAGGGCCCGTTTGGATTTTTCAAGTTCATGAACCTAAACCCCAGAAAGCATCAGGGAAGGGCTGGCCCTGGGCAGAAGCCCAGTTAAGGGCAGCAGAGCTCCTCTTCTGCAGGCCCACACACAGCATACTGACCTCTCTGGTCAGCATGGGCCAGCCTCTGTGTGCCAGCATGCACACGCAGGCAGGCAGACACACACACACATACACACACACACTCTCTCTCTCTCTCTCTCCCACCCTCTGCCTCTTCAGGCTGTGGCCCTTCTGCACTTCACAGAGCACCACTTAAAAAACAATGCTGGCGTCTTCCTTTCATGTGTGGTCCACAAGCATCATTCTCTGATGTCCTTTAAGCCGAGATCTTTAACAGCCAGATAACCATGAGCACAGACCAGGGGCAATGGACTCTCTCTGGTGACCAGCCCTTTGACTGTTGTCAGTGGTTAACAGATACTGTGTCACACATTTCGCGCTTCAATCTTGTATTGAAACAGCACATGTGGAAACTTAAATATCAAGGTGAGTGAGGCCTGAGAGGCAGGGCAGGGCGCAGCTCAAATGAGAGGCCTGACATTTCCCTGGACAAAGAGCCCACCACAGATCCGGCCTGTGCTTGCCGTGGCCTGCGGGACATGGTGCTTTATCCACCTCAGAGCCCCTGGGCCTTGCAACAGCCCTTTGAGGCGGTGCCACTATGTGTCTTCTTTGGAGCGCACCACCATGCCAGTGCTCCCAGGAGGCAGAGGAAGAAGACTCTTACTCATGGGGAGGTCCTTTCTCTTAGTAGGAACAAAAGAAATGTTTGTGGCATGAATGTGTGACTGTTGATTATTCTAGAGAAAATTAAGATGGAACAAGAAAATGGATGCAATGGTGGAGTTCTCTCCCGACACTACTATGCGATGAAGGCATTTCTACTTTAGGTGGCTCTTTCTTGCCCATGGAGCTGGTCTCCTGGGCTTCAGGCAGTAAGAGACCCGGCAAGAAGGTAGGACAGCCTTCAGCCCTTATTATGGGACAGAGAGCCCATACCCCATGGAAACGAGAGCTTGCCTTCACAGAGAACTTTTATGTTTTCAAGCACTTCTTCAGTAGCTCTGTGAAACAGGCAAGTATAAAGTGCACTTGACAAGGAAACTTAAAGGGCTTCCCATGGTCAGAAGGAAGCCAGGGGAAGAGCCAGGCCCAGAACCTGGTCTTTTCCTCCCAGGCCCAGCTTGCTTCACTTTACTCACCATCTCATACACACTGAAGGAGGGGCGGAGTGTAAGTAAAAACAGTTACAGCTCTTTGGGGTACTGTAAACAGTGGAAGGGTACTCAGTGTCGTAGTAACGTACAGGGAGTCATCCCCGACAACACTTGAGGCCTCCACAGAGAACGAGGGTCAATCCCTAGAAGACCCAGTCTGCAGAGACAGCAGAGCTGCAGCTGCCACCTGGCTGGAGACAGACACCCTCTGCGCCCAGCCAAGGCCACCAACTTACAAATGTCAGCACTATTATTATAGGTCACTTGCTCCCTTGGATTACACCTGTGTATGCTGTGTTGATAACTGCCGGTGGCTGCAGGAAAAAGGAGACCCTTCTGTCTAGAGGTGGCCCTGTCAGGACCCAGGCTGGAGCAGCGAGGGCCAGTGAAGGGGACCAAGAACAAAGCTTCCCCACCCATCAATGCTGCTATAACAATGTCAAGTGCGGTTTTGGCACAGATAACTGAAAATAGACTTCAGAAACCTGGAAGTTCATCCCAGAAGACTCTGACCCCCTATTTCTATATAGACTAGAATGCCCTTGAACTCCTCCTTGGCGCAGCTCTGCATTCCTGAGCCTTGCAGGCCTCCCCAGTGAGCACCTGCTCCCTTTCTGCGGGGCCCGTCCCCAGAGGCTCCCCAACGCTGACGTGGGGCCCCCAGGCAACTCACGTTCTTGCCCACATCGTCCTTGGAGCTGATCAGGTCCTCCATGTCCGCACGCAGCTGCTTGCTCTGCCGCTCAAACTCTTCCTTGGCCTCCAGGGCTTCCTCGAGAGCCCGGGCCAGGGACAGGGCCTTGGTCTCCTTCTCCCGGGCCTCTGCTTCCGCACGGTCCCGCTCCTCTGCATAGCGAGCAGAGATGTTCTTCTCCTCTGCTAACAGCTACAGAGAAGGATGCAATGAAAACACCACCAGTACCACACAAACCCTCCGAAGACACTACAGGTCGGACTTACTGCTAAGAATACTCCTCTAGATTGTGGGCATGCTCTCATTGCCTTCCTGTGGCTTTTCTGCTTTTTCAAATTTGCTACAAACATGATAAACTGCTTTTTAAATAAGAGAAGATTATTTTAAATTCAAACAACCGACAAAAGAAGCTGGCCAGGAGGCAGCAGCGTGTGGTGCTACCCTCGGGTCTGGATGAGGGACGCGCGATGGCCTACCTGGTCGAACTTCTTCTGCTTCTTCTCCAAGTTGGAGACGCTCTGGCGCTGGTGGTCCAGGTCGACCGTCAGGTCATCCAGCTCCTGCTGCAGGCGGTTCTTGGTCTTCTCCAGCTTGTCATAAGCCAAAGCCTTCTCCTCCAGACGCTGGCTCAGTGCCTCCACGTCTTTGAGAAGCTTCTTTTTGGCTTCTTCCAAACTTTCAATTGTTCCCAAGTCATCATCTACCCTCTTCTTGGTATCAGTCAACTAGGTTTTGTATAAGAGACAAAGAGCAATATTGCAGAACGCAATCGATTTTTACATTTAAAGAATAAAGACAAGACTTTTTGTTTTCAATACTTTGTGAGAAGAAAGAGAAAATACGGTAAGTCAATACTGTGTGGTTCCAATTCAGATGAATCTTAGGATGTAACTAAAAGTTTAAGCTAATAATCTGTACAACGATTGGACTGAAAGCTAACGTAGTTGATGAAATATGTCTTTACTTTAAATGCTTCTAACGTTGTACTCAGCATAGTATATGAGCGTTTAGCTGGGTCAAAGGAAGAACACTTAATGGGCTTAATTTAGCAAAACCTAATTAACTGTCCCACATGGAGTTAAAACAGTCCAAAGCAGCAGGGACAATGGCTGCTGAGGGCCACACACCCAGGCTGCCCAGCTTCCTGAGGACGCGCACCTGGGACTGCAGGGCTAACACCTGCTTCTCCAGATTCTTCCGGGCCTCCTCCTCCTCCTCCTGCTGCTCCTGCAGACCGTTCTTCTCCTCCTCCAGCTGCCGGATCCGACTGCTCAGGTTCAGTTTTTGGCGTGTTTCCTCCTGAAGAAGCTCCTGTTTGTTTTTTTAAAAAAGGTCAACACTGAGGTTATTATCAATCACCAAAACAAAACCCTTCTACTAAAAAAATCCATCCCATAAAAGATAGTGACTCAGGGCGGGAGGCACACACAACGATGGTGATAAACACAAGTGACTTTAAATCATAAAGGATCATCTGGTAACAGCTCTTGATACAATATTGCTTCAAACTCCTTCGTCACCCATCTAGGGGCCTGGGCCAGATATCTAAGAGTCTTCTAAGATGCCTCCCTTCCCTACATTTTATCAGTTACAGGCAGTCCTCAGATTACGAACAAGTTCTATTCCTAAATGTTTTTAAGTTAAAGTTGTATCGAAGTTAGAACAGTTAGGTATGGTTCATATCCAACATGAGTCAAATATTAGTCTTATTATATAGTATACATTTTTATGCATAAAAAACATTAAATAAACACTTCCAGATACACTAAAACATCTTTAACATAATAATACAGTAATAGTAAATAATAAAAGTTTGGATGCATGTTGCAAAGTAGCAACTGCCTGTTATTACGAACTACTGTATATACCTTGCATTTTTAATATGATAGGCTTTATGGGGGGTGGTAACTATGGGTTGTACTTAAATTGGACGTTTGTAACTTGGGGACTGCCTGTACTTCTAGAGTCCTCTCTCTGCTCTGCCATGCCTTAGCCTGTCTCACTGGGATCACCTTCAGTCTTGGGCACCCCATCCCCTCAATTATTTGTCTTTTATACTTTCTGGCAGATTAATTTTTCTTAAACGTAAATGTGAACATGTCTCTTTCAGTTGCTTTCAGTCTTAAAAAATTTCAAAGGCACAAGCCAAGTCTTCTGTGATCTGGCTCTTGCCTCCTTCAGTCTCATCCATGATGTGGCCTTGCCACAGCATATACCCCTGTTACACTGAACTTGTCCCTCAACTGCCTAGTTACTGCCTTTTTTGTTGGTCTGAGTGTTTACTCCTGTATCTCCAACCCTAATGCAAAATCTGCCAGTAAACGTTCATAAATGTTTGCAAATTTAATACAAAGATGTAAAAGTTCAAGAAAAAAGTGCTAAATTATTTCAGATCACCAGAGTCACTAACCTCACTTTTGGCTTAAAAACATCCCTCACAAATGACTCAACACAAGTTTTAACAGGATGTTAAGCAAGCCTCAATCCCTCTTTCGCAAAATGGACTGTTTTTCTTAGGTCAGTATAATGAAACCTTAATCACAAAAAACAATCTTATATAAAATGGTCAGTAATACACATGTGTGCAGTAGGACCACCACGTGGGTAAACCACAGCCCAAGGGGTGCCTGCGAGGTGTACGGAGGGCTCTGCATTGGAGATAACTGCGCTTCACTAGAGATGTCCTGAGTACCAAGGCTAGTTTTAACGCAAGATGGTTTAAAGTAAAAACATGAAATAAAATCAGCAAGA